TCAGTGAGATAATCCCAGGCCCGGAGGAGTTTGTTGGGTTCATGTTGCGGAGTGGAGTCATTATGGATATTGTTAGGAATGGTATTGTCTGTCTGGAAGTTAGACATGGTTTGGGTTTTTCAGTTTTTGGTCAGGGCGGTGAGACTTAAGATCCGATGGTTAAGGGAGGCGTGTTAGGGTTTGTTTCTTGGTTAGAAGATGTGATTTCTCTTAAGGTTGGGTTCCGATAGCAGTGTTGGAATCTCGTCGTATGTGAGTGATAAATTACCAGTTCTAATTGGGATTTAGGAAGTTTAGACGAGGTCGGCTAGTGTGGTAGAGTAAGTTGTAAGGAACGATTTCGAGGATGAAATCTAATTCAAGTGGGGGGATTTGTAACACCCGAATTCTACAAATATATTTTATTTGCTGATTTGTGAGTTTTGGGGTTGCCACGACGTGGTGGAGGAACCACCACGACGTGGCGAGGACGAAATGGTCGTGGACTTCATTTAAGCCACCACGACGTGACATTCTTTTGGCTATGACATGACAACCGTCTGGAGGTCTAAACCCTAAATTTCAAGTTTTACACCCTATATAAAGGAAGTAGTAGCTAGGGTTTCACCTCTTATCATCCTCCATTACCCTACAACACTCATAAACCTAAACCCTAACCCTCTTTGAAGCTCTTGACTCATTTGGTGTATTTTTGTGGCTTTAGATGGAAGATGAAGGAGCTTTTGTGCATAATTCAAGCAAACTACTCATCTTTACTCCTTGTGTGCATCATATGGATCATTTTTGAGTTCTCAAGTTTTCAAATTGATGATGTTTACCTTATAGATCTAGGTTATTTGGTATGTTTTGGTCGATATTTTAGTTTTAGATGGTTGAAGGAGATAAAGTTTGCAACTTTATAGCTCACTTTGGTCCTTTGGTCATCATATATTTTGTATCTATGAATTGGTAAGGTCTTGTTTCCATGCTTGAGGTTTTGACCACTTTTCACATTATTGACCTAACTTGAGCCCAATACTTGCTTAGGACATGAATATCTGAAAAATAGCGATTTTTAAGATGTTTTGGGAGTATGAATGGCTTCCGAAAGATTTAGATGAGTAGGTTAAGCAATGAAGGACTTATTGGTTATGTTGTCCTAAAAGCAGTAGCCATGGCATGACAGGATGGTGCCACAACATGGCGATTATATTATCCACGATCTGTCTGTATAACACACACCAAGACATGGCAGATTTAGTGCCACGATGTGGTAAATGTTTGATCGCGATGTTGTCAGATAATCACGACGTGACGATAGATTGGCCACAGCGTAGGGACGTCTGAAGCTTGGATTGGAATTTTGTTTGTTAGCCACAACGTGGCCATGGGTTGTCCACGGCATGGAGATGAGCTGATGATGGATTTGACTGCTAACCTTGAGGGTTGACTTTAGAATTAGTTTACTTTTGGCCAATTGTTAGTTTTAGAATGAAGACTAAGGGTTTTACCTTGTATGGATTGATAGGAGGTGTCAATACCATTCTTCGGTTGTGGGTGTTGTTAGCTGTGTTTCGTCTGCGAGGTGAGTTTCTTCATTGTACTAATGGGTCGAAGGCACCAATGTCGACCCACTGAATTATGTTTGTAGGATGATAGTTGTCTTTATGAAACTTGTTGCTACGCATGTATGTGCTTGTTATCTTTGTGACTCTTGTTGATATGATTATATGCTTGGCTGTAGGGGTGGAATAGACCCAATACCAGTTGAAAGATACCGAACGGTGAAATAGGCCCAGTACTAGTTGAAAGAGATCGAAGGTGGTGGTGGTGGGTGGGGGGGGGGGGGTGAAATAGACCCATTTTAGTTTTGTACTATTATATATGTATGGTATGGGGTATTTTGGGGAACTTACTAAGATTTGTACTTACGCTTTATGTTTACAATGTTTTCAGGTACTACTGGTTTCAAAAGGAAGGACCCGACTTGATCGTATTGCATCCCTTGGAGCTTTATTCCACATTTACTATTTATGATTTTACTATGATGTTTTGAGAATTTTTTTATTATGACCGTATTTTGGGATAATGAATGAATAACTTTGACTTTTTTAAAATAAAATTTTAACTCGGTAATTTTGGGGCGTTACACAATGTTCCATAGAAAATGATTATTTTGCAAAAAAGACCATAAAAATTAATTATTTTTGTTAAACATATCATCTATAATTGTTAGTTTGCTTAATTTATAATGGAAAACACATACACTCTCTGTCACGTCCTAAAATGCTCATTTTGTCTCTAACGATACTAACCATAAGTTGATGGGTATCCTTTTACCAATGCCTTATACTATTAAGTCACAAGCCGTTTGGTGTTGGTTTACTTAATATCCTAAAATAAAATATTGATCTTAATACATTGGGCCATGTCAAATAGAAAGAACGTATGGATGTATATCTAAAATTTGGATCATAGACATCGATCACATAATCTCGATTTTAAATTCAGACTTATTTTAGAACATGTATCTTAAGCTAAAGAGAGTGAGATTGGGAGAGCTCGACATATGTGAGGTGAATGAGGAAAGCACCAACCCACCAGCTCGGTATGACGAGGTTTTGTGTAGAGTTTAACACTCTCTTGTCATTTCTCTCCCATCGATAAAGAAGGGGATATGACTAGGACTGTAAACGAACTGAACGTTCAACGGACTATTCGTGAACCGTTCGACGGGAAGTTTGTTTATGTTCGTTTATTTAATAAATGAATAGACATGAACACAAATTCTTGTTTTTTTAATTAAATAAAAGAACATGAATGATGGTCTTGTTTGTCCAGTTATGTTCGTGCATGTTTGTTTATGTTTGTTCATGTAAGTTCCACTTATGTTCATATATGTTCAATTGTCTTTGATTACTTAAATATATTATTTATTTGTTTATGTTCATATATGTTCAATTATGTTTGTTTATCTCCATTCGTATATGTTCATTTAGCATGTTGTGATAACTGGCAGTTCTAGGTCAGCAAAAGTCAAACAAGCCAACGAAAGTCAACGAGTTAGGACATAAATCGAGACTTATACCTTGCTTTAGGGTTCTCGGCTTAGGACACAAAACATTGTGATTTCGGTTGGTACGTGGACCGAAATCACCATGTGATCTCGGTTGGTACATGGACCGAAATCACCTATTGAACTCGGTGGTACCTGGACCGAAATCACCATGTGGTCTTGGTGGTACTAGGCCGAAATCACCATGTGATTTCGGTGGCTTTGTGAGGTTATCGGTTGAAAAGAAAGAGGAAAATAGATGACTTCGGTGGGGGGGGGGGGGGGATACAAGAAATATTTGGAACATTTACATAAATTTTTGCTTGATTCATTCCTATGCCAAATATAAAACATAATTTGCATGAAATATGGTTATCACTAGTTTTTAGAATATTTATTTGTGGTAAGTTAGTTTTGAGATGTAAAACTAAGAAAAACAAAACATCAACTATGTTATACATCCATAAGGAAAAGTTATAATTACAAAACTACAAAGACTAAGATTTTCTTTGGACAAAGTATGGAATTTCTAGCAAAAATGGTGATAATCTAGTTATTATACCATTTTTAGGGATAAAACCCAAAAATATGTTGTTTTGGTCATGCATTTTGAAACTAGACAAAATATCAAGGAGTTAGTTTTACAAAAAGAAAACTCAAGAATTTATCATTTTATGAAAGAATGGATTTTTAAACAAAAATGGACTTTTTTCGTATCAATTTTTCATACATGTGTTAAATGTAAAGTTTTTATGACACAATCCTTTAAAAAACACATAGACAAGATATCTATTACGTATTTATATAAATGATTATATAAATGGATTTAACAAACATTCATAATAAACTGTAATTGATATAGTTTAGGAATCATAGATACTACATTATCATTTCGGACGAAACATATAATTATTTAAATGTAAAATTATTTTTACACTATGTAACCACTATGGAATGGTAATACTTTCATCTACAAGAAAAATGATTTTCATTAAACTATATGTAAACCTGTTGATAAAAGTTTGTGAGATCACTATCTTCACCACACCTACCATAGTACACACTAAAGTCTTGAATTATAACCAGAGTCTCGGTAAAAGAGCGTACCACTTGTGTATAGATCTATACATGACTGAAAACCCCGCACCTAAGCTGTTAGCTACAGTTAGACCGACAGGTTTAGAGTGACAAATGTCTAACATTCATACAAGGAAAAATTACCGATTTTTCGCATACAAAACTCTTCTAAAACCACCAACTTAATTGTTGACACTTTTTCAAAATCGCTTGTATTCTCAGAAAATCAGTAAATAGATAACCAAAAGGGTTTTGAGAATGGGGCGTCATCGCGTCACGTCATATATTTTTGTCATATGTATTTAGTATCAAGCAAACAATTATTTGAATACAATATAAACTTATAAATTATCAATATGATGGTTGTATGACTTTGATCATTATTATTCATTTGTTATAATATTGTACATGAAGTCATCCACCCCCAGATGTTTCCCCCGTTCTGGTTTGGGGGCGTGACACATGTTCACGAACATAAGCGAACGGACATGAACTATGTAACTTGTTAAACAAACGGACATGAACAAAAAAACTTGTTTGTTTTATATTTTCGTGTTTGTTTGTTTGTTCGACTACCTTAAACAAACGAACATGGACAACCTCGTTCATATTCGTTCGATTCATTTACAACCCTAGATATGACTTCTTTCTAATGTAAAGCTCGATACCGCCACTCCTATCCTTATAGTTTATAGCCATTCAATCCTATCCTTATAGTTTATAGCCATTCAATACATAATTAAGCTCCTTAAATTATGAAGATACCAAATTTTATATGGTTTCTAGACCTTGTACTTTATTGTAAAATAACAAACATAGGGGACTAAACTTGCATTAACTCAATACTTTAAGGTCTAATAAATCAGGGTGTATTCTCTCTATGGGTCGGGTCTCCTCGATGGAAAACCTAACTCTTTGATTTCTCCCATACTCGATAATCGCTTCTCCCATCCATCTTCTTACCTGTACAGAGGAGGTTGAGAATGGGGTTTTTCGATCTTAATATACCCTACACTGAATCCAACAAGCGGAACCCTACCACCGAAAAATCGATACGATTGAAACTCGCCGTCAAAGCCATGGAATTGGGTTACACCGGCGTTGCATACAACCGTACTATTACCGGAGTAATGTCGGAAGTAGACCGTTGTTCAATCTCTTTGTTCCCACTTTCTTCTGTTCTCAAGGTCTCTCCTTCTATCTCCACCTCTGTAAACCTTCACCGCCGCCTCCTCAATGTTCCAACCTCCACACCCTTCCGTCAATACACTCGTCTCACGGTTGTTGTTGATACACCCGCACAAGGATCAGCTCTTAATTCTGGCAACCCAGTTCTTAAAACTTATGACATTGTTGCTGTGAGACCCTTGAAACAGGACGCCTTCGATCAAGCTTGTAAAAATTACGAGGTCTTGTTTTGTTTCATTTTTTTCAATGAATATCTACATCATACACAAGCAGATAATTAGTAGAGACTTGTTTAAGGTTTATTTTCGCTGATTTTATAAGGGGATACTAGATTCATAGAACCAAAGTATGCTTATATGTCAGTGTTTTCGTTATTAGTAACTGATTTAAGATTCTGAATGTGTTTGCATATAGGTGGATATAATTTCCATTGATTTTTCAGAGAATCGTTTTCGATTGAAGCAACCCTTGATTAAGGCTGCAATCGAGGTTATAATTCTGTAACTATCCCTATTTGGTTTGTTTTTAAATCTTTTTGTTACTTACCTTCTAGAATCTTTACAGAAGTAGAAATTTCGACATGGGTATTTGATTATGAGAAGATATTCTTGTTGTTGATATGCAGAGAGGAGTATATTTTGAAATTACATACTCAGGTCTTGTTCTGGATGCTCAGTTGAGAAGACAAATGATATCCAATGCCAAGGTATAACTATAAGATCTTCCATTTTTATTTTTATCACACAACAGATTTATGGAATTTGTCTTCTGATAAGAGGTCTATGCTATTTGAACTTTGAAGGTGTTGGTAGATTGGACACGTGGAAAAAATCTAATTTTTTCAAGTGCTGCTCCTTCCGTAACTGAACTTAGAGGACCACATGATGTTGCAAATCTTGCATCTCTACTTGGTTTATCAATAGAACGTGCTAAAGCTTCTGTTTCAAGAACATGTAGGTATATAAATAATGCTTTTTTCAAAGTGTCATGTGGTAAATTATCGACTTCAATTTGTGTAAACTATTTTTCTTTCATGATCCACAGATCTCTACTTGAAAACAGCTTAAGAAAGAAGAAATTCTACAAAGAGGCGATAAGGGTTGAGTTAATCACATCTGATACTGAGGGAGCTGGTTTTGATGACTGGCTTAAGTGGGACCCAATCTCTAGTGGTGAAGGTGATTTGCAAATTGATGACATGGCAAAGTCATTTGCAGCCTCAAGTAAAGAATCAAAAACTGTTAAAGCCATTGATTTTGTTTCAATCATTGATGGATTGTCATCACATGGATTGCACATTAAGGACATGGTATCTGAAACAAAATTAGAGTCATATGATCCTATTGAAAATAACCAGACTTCATTAATGGAGGCTCAGGAGAAAGGAGAAAATGAAAAGTTTGAAACTGTTGAAGTTTTGGCTAATGTTGAGGGAGGTGAAACTTGTGCTATGATTATAGAAGAAGTGAATAAGATACAAAGTGATGAGGCTATATTAGAAGCAAATGTCAGTAAATGTGAAGAAGTTGACAAATTTTCTTTTGATGCATCTTTGTGTGAAGAGTTTTTGGAAGGAGAACACATGAAGGATGCAAGAGATGTGATAGCTACTACACCTGTTAGTTCATCTTTGCCCTTGTGTAGTGTATCTTTGAATGAAGATGTTTTAGAAGAAGAATTGAGTGTAATGGGGGAAGATGTTTTAATTGCAGCTTCCAATACTTTGGCCACTTTAAGGTCTCATGATGAGTTGGAACAGATTGATGGTGATTCAGTTGTTCATGAGCCATTGGAAGATATGTCAATGGAAGTCAAAGATCATAGTCAAATCAATCATTTGTCTTCATCAGGTACATTATTCTTTTAGCAAAGTCTTATAAACTTTAAGAATACTGCCTTCTTACTTTGAAGTGTTTCTCATTTACATGAGACCTTGTTTGTGCATCTTGATTTTAGTCTTTATCAACCATTGACACAATCTTGACATAGATGTTAATTGTTTATAATTAACATGTTGAATGAAATCATTTTTGTAATGTTGGAGTTGCATCTTCAAAAGTATTTTCTATAGTCATTGACATCTATGATTTGTCTTCTTCCTACTTTAGTGAATCCACATCATTTCCTTTTAAGCCATTTTTGTGTTGTTTTATGCAGAGAAAGTTAGAAGAAAGCAAGGGAGTTCACTAGGATCCACATCATTTCCTTTTAAGCGTTTGTTGAGAACTTCTTCACATTTCAAGAAATCTCGGAAGCACAAAACAAAGAGCAGAATTTTGTAAAAGAAACCAACTTTTTTGTACAATTTTGCATTATTGATTTTTTTTGTCATTAACTCAGTGATTAACAGCTCTATCATTGTTGGTTAATGCAGGAGTCTAAGCGAACTTATCGGGTGAGATCTGATATCTAAGAAAGTTCTCAATTTTGACTTTTTTATTTGAAAATTTTGACCATTAGATCATGTTAGTGTTATTATATGAACTTGTGCTTGATGGTTCAATATCAATTGCATGTGGTGATCGCTTACTATTGAAAATTGAGTATGTCTTTTTACTATAATTTGATTTGATCATATTCATTTATACTATGTAATCATTTTTAGTATGTGAGTCTTATTTTACTAAATGAGGAGATATGAAAATGTTTGTAGGTCCTATTTACTTGATCTGAAAAATAATGGAAGCCGATAGATGAAGGGGATTATTTTTTTAGCATTATTTATGTTTATTACTATGAGGAGATATGATATTTTTTTTTAGAAAAAATGAAATCTTGAAATACAATTATAACAAAAAATACATATTTTTACTTTAAAAAATTAAAAAAAAGAAAGACTTTTAACTATTTTGAAAATTTCAAAAAAGCTAATATTATTAGATTATACGACTAAAAGTAATAATTTATAATTATATGTACATATCATTTCATTCCCGTAAGGAATGAGAAAAAAACCCTCTCTAAAATAAAAACATGAGAAGAAAATCGTATTTTGTGGGGAATGCTCAATTCTATATCTTATGACAATTAAGCATGTTTTTTTTTTTTGTTCATTACGATGTAAAACTTAATTCCATTCCATCTTGGATTATTAATTTATTAGGTGTGAGTCATATGTAATACATGGGTTTATTAAAAACAAAAGTTTAATATAAAATTGTAAACATTACATATTTTTTATTTAAAGTAATGCTTTTACATGTAATTACCATTGTAGCACGTGTGTGGCCCAGCCCATAAAGGCCATGCGGACTTGACGTCATCCCCACCTTCCTGTGCAGTGTATCACTAGCAGTCCTTCTTGAGTGCGACACACATCTTTTTGTTTGTTTCGAAGCCGTTTTGGCGGGGTGTACTAAACCCACTACGTACCACACCACCGGACAGCTCGCCTGAATGCCTAGTCTTTCTCTGCCGTCAACTCGACATCGTCATCACCTGCAAGATAAGGCCAAAAACTTGAGTTTACTAACCAAACGATAAAACCCTTTCTATCTTCTTGGTCAAACGCGCTAGCTGCAATCAAATTCAAGTGCACACTAGAAAAGAAAGGGCTTAGGCTTCGAAAGGCGCTGGCTACAGATATGATATACGAATAAAATAAGTGATTCAATAAATACTAATTAAAAATATTGATATTTTAAAAAATGTGTGATATACTTATTTAAGATTTAATTCTAAGAGAACTGAAATTGAAAAGAAAGAATGCACAATATATATATATATATATATATATATATATATATATATATATATATATATATATATATATAGGTTTAGGTTTTATGGAAAACAAAAAACCCTAAAAATCATAGAAAATGCATAAAAAAAAAATACTTAGAGATCACAAGATTTTTTTTTTGAATTTTTTTCATATATATATATATATATATATATATATATATATATATATATATATATATATATATATATATATATATATATATATATATATATATATATATATATATATATATATATATATAGGTTTAGGTTCTATTGGAAAACAAAAAACCCTAAAAATCATAGAAATGCATAAAAAAAAAAATACTTAGAGATCACAAGATTTTTTTTTGAATTTTTTTCATAAAAAATCGCAGTTTTTTATAAAAATTCGCTGAAAAAAAAATAAAAATAATATATATATATATATAAAGTTTTTTTTTTTCAAATTTTTTTTCCAGCGATTTTCTTTAAAAAGCTGCGATTTTTTCTTAAAAATGTCAAAAAAAAGTTTTGTGATCTTTAGGTATTTTTTTTTATGTATATATATATATATATATATATATATATATATATATATATATATATATATATATATATATATATATATATATATATATATATATATATATATATATATATAAACCCTTTGTAAAATATAGATATTAAATTTAAGAAAATAAAAAACACAAGAAAATGACAAATGAAAAAAAGTAATTTCAAAAATAATGTGTCAAAATTAAATGAGAACGTTATATTTTGGCAAAAACTATTTTTATTTATTAGGTTAGATTATATTACAAATGATACCATCTAGTTTGGTTTCATATTTAATTATGACTTCATAATTCTTAATCACAGATTTTAAAATTACTTGATCTTAACATAACATTGGTTAAAACACATTTTGTACTAATTATCTTTTATTTTGTTGAATACTTTGATATAAAAATATTCTTTACCGAAGATTGACAAAAGTCGGCAGGAATTTTAACGTGGGTAGAAGATTAAAGATGAAGAAAGCTGGATTTGTTGGCAGACCCAACAGCTCTTTAGTTCTAAGACTGAACTCACTGAACATGCATGTGGGGTGGGGTTTTGTTCGAAATATAATAATAATAATAATAAAATTGTTTATTTTGAATTTTAACTGAAAAAGGAACAGAATTAAAATAAGTTAAATAACACATTCAACTTTACAAATAACAATAAAACCCATACTTTTTTAAATAAATCCTAAATTATTTAATCGAAAACACTATTAAAACAATATAAATATTAAGACTATTAACAGCTTTTTGCATACAAAAATCTATTATGTTTTCAGTAATTTACTTCATAAATTATGAAATTATTTTATTTTGTGATAAAACTATTATACAAGTTTTTTCTTGGAGATATCATCGGTGCCTTGTTATATCTTATTAAGTTATCACTGGGCATTTGCAAAACCAATTTTTTCATTAAAGTCATTAAAGTTTTATTTTATTTTAGAAAAACTATTGTTGTGTTTATTGTGCCGTAATTATGTTATAAGTTAGTTTATTTTTATGGTTTTTTAGATTGTAATGTTTAATAAGTTAAAAGTAAGTTATATGCTGGTTTTAAAAAAATTATTAGGCTAATGTTAAATAAACTTATAAAACCCTTTTAAATTTCTTTTAAATATATAGTAAGGTATTAATTATCTTTAGAATCAATTCCCCACATTTACTTATTTTTTGTTTCATATTTTAATAAACTTTATAGGTAGCTACTATATTAAATATATTTAGAAAAAAAAAAGTATTACTGAAACTACAAATAATTTTAAAATAAAGTAACTTAACATTTATTTATTTATTTATTTCTAACCGTAGATCATCCCATTTAAGTGATTCGTCATTTACCGGTCATATGATTTTCAACATTGTTCTTCAATGATTAGATACCTACAAAAATTTAGACGATGATTTAAAATTTAAGCATAATAACATTCTAAGAGTTATACCACGAGATATGATAAATTTGTGATAATATTGCAAATATGATATTAGGGGTGACAATTATTGACACGACACGATAAAAATACACGATACGAAACGAAATTGGGATGAAACTGAAATTCAAATTCGTATTCGTGTCGTGTTCGTGTTAAGTGTAAAAAACACGATGTTGTGTCGTGTCGTGTTCGTGTTTAAAATTCGACACGAAATTGACACGATTTAACATTTATTTTTCGTGTTATGTATGATAAAATATTAATTAAATAAACTAATTTTTTTTATTATTTTATCTATATCGTGTCGTGTCGTGTTACATAAAACATTGCCGTGTCATGTTGTGTCAGACAAAAACACGACACGGTGGCCTGATTTTCCACCCCTATATGATATGAGATGGAAAAATTTACTTAAAAAATAAAATAATTGAAGAATTGTTATTTATTACTTATTTTAATGGGAAATCATTAGTACAGTCTGAATGTTTTGGATCAATTTATGAAGTTTTTTTTTTTTTTTTTTTTTTTTTTTTTTAATAACAAAAAAAGTCATAAAAATCGGTAAAATGTTGCATTATGGCAATTCTCTCAATGTTACATCACATCAGCAGGTAACCCTACAGTCTACTGTAAAATTTCATCGAAAGACCACCACCGCTTGGTAGGGGTTTTGTACCAGATTATGATGAGATTGTAGTAGAGGTGTTTGTTTTTAGAAAAAGTGGTTGAAGATGGTGGAAAGCGGCGGTGACAAGCGACGTGGGTGGCGGTCGGTGCACGCTTCTCATGTGGAGGAAAGACGTAGCTTTTATCTAGAATTTGTTGTGCACATCAAGAAGGGTGGAATGATGGTGGTTAGGTTGAAAATGCACAGTGGGAGCAACGATTTCAAGATTTTCCGGCGAGTGCTTCATCTTCTCCTACGACTTCCCTTCACCTTACACACTTCTTTTCTCTTGTTCTCTCCATAGTGTTGCCATCAAATTTCCTATCCCCCTCACCTACGATCACTTCCACCCACCACCATAAACCACCATTGCCGAATATGCTTCTATCACCGTCGACAACCCTAATGGTGGTGGTTTCGCATGGTTTTTAGGCGGTAGTATAAAAGAAATGAAGATAAGGGTTTGCTCACGGTGGTAAGTAGAGGTAGTCGGGTGAAAATTGTAACAACCGTTTCAGGAATACTTCTTTCGAGACTTAGTCATTTTAGACCTTCTAAATGTGGAATTTGGTGGTGCCCATGACGTGGTGGGGGAAGCACCATGACATGACAAAACTATATGAAGCACACATTTTTTATGTACAAGGACGTGGCAAGGATATGGCCACGATGTCGTGACACACGGAGTGCAAAACCCTAATTTTCAGACCTAGAGCCCTATTTGTAACGATAAGTAATTCCCCAAAGTATTATATATATATATATATATATATATATATATATATATATATATATATATATATATATATATGTTGGGCTAATTAACTAAATTGGTTTGGGCTTGAATCTATTGGGCCCTTATGTTTGGGCTAAGATAGCGGACGTAGAGCGGACCACTCTAAGTACGCGCAACATACTCACGAGTTATGGACGCAGATGCTATGCGCATACGCGTTGCGTTCCATAGGGAACGCGCAACGTACGCATGCAGTCCCCAAAACCTTAAATTTTGGGGTTAACCCTATATAAAGAACATTATGCACTAAAGTCTAGCCACCCTCTCACCCTTAAGCAAATCCCAAGAAACCCTAAACCCTTGTTTGTGTGTTTTGAGCTTAGAAGACCCTTTTGTAGTGCATTTTGGTATTTTGAAGAAAGGTGGCCATTGTTGAAGCATCATCAAAGGAGCAAAAGCTTATAGATCCAGAACCTTGTCAACATTTGGCCTTCATATAAGGTATAAAGCTTTGAAATTAGTGTTTATTTTCTTAGATCTATT